ATGCATGGACGAACGCAAGGACGGACGCACGAATGGACGCACGCACGGACGGGCGGATGGATGGCCGAATGGATGGTCACACAGACGGACGCATGGACGGACGGAAGCAAGAACGAATGGACTGATGAATGCTTCGCCCCACTCTCCATCATTCACTCCATGGATGTGCTGTCATTTTTTTTAAGTAGCCTTGGAATGAGCTCAGTAAAATATATCATTTCCTCACGAATTCATCGTCTCAAACATTTTAGGAATCCGTCTAGTACGAGCGAAGTTACAAAGATTTTTCGAACGCTCCAATGCACTCTCTCCTTTCTCGTCCTGACGAAAGCACTGCAAGCTAAGCAGCGGTCATTACCGCTTACACTGGCGGCAGCGTTCACGCTGGCGCTCACTTCAGAGCTGCCAAGGAGGAAATTCTTGGGAGGTACAAAACACGTAGTGATGTGCCGATGTTTCCTACTCGAACATGCGAGTTGCTTCTAATTGGCAATGAAAGACACATGACTCTCATTGGACACAGATACGCGCCGTTCGCGTTTAGTTAACTCACACCATGCGAAATTTTATTGTTCAACACGGCACAGGAGAAATCTGTTATCGGTGCTACCTTAGGGCTCAAGGTCACGACCTATATATTCAGGGTTGCATGGGAACAGTTGTACAGTACAAGCAGAAGGTTTTTTTTTTCAATCAAGAAACTCGCTAGCAGACGCTGGCTCCGTCGGCGTTGCGAGCCGTGAGTGGGAGCGCAAAAGAGAGGTGAAGAAGTCGCGCATGCGCAACGGTGGTGAAATGCCGCAGGGAGAGATGCCTAGAGGAGTGGGGAAGGTCAGCGAGCGTAGGCAACAGACGCTGCCTACGTCAGCAGTGCGAGGTGAGAGAGGGGGAGGGGACGTGCATGCGCATGGAGCGTGGCCACCACCGGATCAAACGAGCCCATAAGATGATTCGCATTCAAAACGTCATGCGGGCATCGTCAATTTGAGCTCTTTTTCTCTCTTTGTTTCTTCGAAAATATACCATTTCAGTGCAATCGCGCGTGCATGCGTGGAAAATATACGGCCTCCCTTGGCGAGCTCAATAGCAGCCGAGCGTGCCATGCTCAAATTATCAATGAGCCTTGCAGCTACAATACAATAAATGACTTAGGGATTACAGCTGGAAGCAGGCCGCAATGATGACTCAAGATGAGACCCAAAATGCAACTACTGAGCCGAAGTTCCCGCCAGAAATTGGCAGCTGTGGCCTAGTTGGCCAGAGCGGCACAATATGAATTGGTGGGGTTGGTGGTACGAGCCTCTTGCAGTCATTGTTACCTTTGCCCTGCCATGGTGATCAAGTGGCTAAGGTACTCGGCTGCTGACCCGCAGGTCATGGGTTCGAATTCCAGCTGTGGCGGCTGCAATTCTGATGGAGGCGGAAATGTTGTTGGCCCGTGTGCCCAGATTTGGGTGCACGGTAAAGAACCCCAGAAGGTAGAAATTTCCGGAACCCTCCACTATGGCGTCTCTCATAATCATATGTGGTTTTGGGACGTTAAACCCCACATATCAATCAATCAATCAATCAATCAATCAATCGGAAACGCAGCCGCCACAGCCGCGATTTGAACCCGTGACCTGCGGGTCAGCAGCCCAGTACCTTAGCCACTAGACCACCACGGTGGGGCAAACCCCACATATCAATCATCAATCAAAGTTCCCGCCGGGGAAAACTAAGCCCTAGATTAGAAGCAAGAAAATACAATTCTCCGTCACAGGGATCCATCCGCCTCTACGAGGTCACACTCAGAAGATAAAAAACGCGAAATTCACTACAAAACAGGTTCTTTACAAGATATGCCCAGCAGAGTACCCTGACCCCAAGTGCAACTACTGTAAAGTGCCAGAAACGACAGAGGATACCCTCTGGGAATATGTTCATGACTCAGGCCGAGCTGCTTTTATAAAAAAAAGTTGGCAGATCCCATGTACATTAGGAATCGATGATATCAGAAGCACGAATGAGGAAGGTTGATATGTCCCATTAAAATCGGCACAGCGTTACGAGGTGGACGTTAATTATGTCATACATAACTTCCATGTCGTGATTATGATGTTTGGACGTGTCATTTACCTTCGTCATCCATTCAAGTCACGTCATACTAATATTGGTATATGTAGAGCAAGCGAAACGGCCGCGAACGTGCTTTGAGTTTAGGAAGTTGCAATGTTTTACATCACATGCATGCCATTATTATATTCTTTGGACATGTCTTTTACCTTCATCGTCTATTCGCGTCAAGTGATAGAAAATTTGGTATGTTTAGCTAGCGAAATGGCCATGAGCGTGCTATGAGCGTAGCATTTAGTCACGTATTACAAGACACACATATCATGACTATCATATTTGGACGTGTCATTTACCTTCGTCTTCTGTTCACGTCACGTACCAAACTTGATACATATGTAACTAGCCAAATAGCCTCCTGCGCGCTATGAGCATTTCATTTAGTCATGCTTTACATGAAATGCATGCCTTGATTATTATGTTTCGACATAACATTTACCTTCGTCATCCATTCACGTCGCGTAATAACGAAGTTCGTATATGTGATGCTAGCCAACCGGCCGCGAGCGCATCATGAGCGTGGCATGTAGTCTTGTTCTTACAAGACACGCATCTCATGATTGTCGTGTTCGCACCAGTCACATACCTTCGTCATCCATTCACGTCTTTGTAATACCAAATTTCGTATATGTGAAGCTATCAAAACGGCAGCGAGCTCATCATGACCGTGACATGTAGTCATGTTTTTACATGAGAAGCATATGAAGATTATCATGTTTTGACCAGTGACCTGCCTTCGCCATTCATTCATACCCCGTATTACCGAATTTGGTTTATGAGAAGATAGCGAAACGACTGTGAGCGCACTATGAGCATAGCATGTAGTAATGTTATTACATGACACGCATGTCATGATTATACGTTTGAATGTGAGATTTACCTTCGTCGTCCATTTAGGTCACGTAACACCGAATTTGGTACATGTGAAGCCACCAAAAAGGCCGCGTGCGCATCATGAGCGTAGCATGTAGTCATGTTACATGAAATGCATCTCATGATTATCATGTTTGCACCAGTCATGTACCTCCATCAGCCATTCACGTCACGTAATACCATATTTGGTATAGGTGAAGCTAGCGAAACTACCGAGAGCGCACACACAGTGTGGCGTGTAGTCTTGACTTAAATTACATGCATGTCAAGATTTCCACGTTAGGATCTGCCACTTATGTTAGCCATGCAGTCATGTGATGCCATACTAGCTTTGCAACACGTCATGTGAACAAAACAATCGCAAAAGCAGCAAGACCACGAAATGTAAATCATGACATTGATGACATACCTGTGATGATGTTCATAGTTATGACTGTTCACTTATGGTCGTAATACAATTTTGGTATGCCATACCAATTTTGGTATCAATACCAATATTGAAACGGCTAGGAGAGCTAAAACTAGTAGATAGATAGATAGATAGATAGATAGATAGATAGATAGATAGATAGATAGATAGATAGATAGATAGATAGATAGATAGATAGTAGATAGATAGATAGATAGATAGATAGATAGATAGATAGATTTGTCAATTCACCGAAGTTTGTCAAGAAATGCTTCGCCTTTAAAACCTGACATCGGCAGCGTTGACCCGACGACTGCAAGGAATAAATGTCATGATCCCAGCAGCAATCTAACCTAATCATTCTACCTCACAGCCACGTCAATCTTGGAACTAATGTTCAAATTGACCCTCATTTTTGTAAGACGTCAAGTGTGGTTGCAATGCTGGCTATACAACTTTATCAACTTTACATGTGTACTCCCAAGATACAGCCGTCACAACGGGTTAGCGCCAATTACAGTTAGGTGTCATGCGCTGAAGTTTATTTATGTAACAGTTTCCAGACTACCATCCTCGCGAGCACCATCGCTTCATATCAGCTTAACGTTTCTGGTGTGGCTGATTCTCATGCACCTGTCAGCATAGTTGTGCAAGTGCAAACAACTGGTTGTATAAATTATGCAACTCAACATATGTCTATGCGTGCAACATCTATACATATATTTAACGTCATTTTATTACGTGTCTTTAAAGGAAAAATTACAACCCGGTCACTTTCCCTCCGCATGCTTTATATAACATCAGTTCACAAGGTTCGTGGGATGCAGGACGTTTTTTTTTTTCTCTCTGTCTTTCTTATATACAATGGTGCTGAAGCCAACAAGCAAAAACGCATTGTACATAGTCAAATAAAGCTTTTCATCAATTGATCAATCAATCAATATAGACAATTTTGATACAATGGCTGGGCGAGTGATTTTTAAGTTTGTTGATTCATTTGTCGAGGGAAGAAAACGCAATCCTAATCTGGCTTTGCGATTTTATTGTGAATTCTAGACTGCCTGCTGCACTATAATATTTGACTCGCGTATTTTTGGGGGCCCCGCCTGCCAATCTGCATCGTTTTCTGGCCATGCTCGAAAAGTATTGCAGGGTCCATTCAAGGCACTCTGTTTATTGACACCACTTGTAAGACAGGAAAGCACAAGTAACACCTGTGTTGGGAGCAAGACGCTATTGTGTAAAGTGTTCTCACAGGGCTGATGAAAATAGACTGTGCCATTACTGATATTCTGTAGAAATTATGAATGTTCCGTTGCCTTAATTGGTCAGAAAGACATCAGGTCCTCAGCCTACACAATGCTCACATGTGGATCCCCCTAATGACTGCACGCGCAGGACGTGAGAAAGAATTTAGTGTGTTTAAGATATTAGAAATATAAAAATTTTCTGGCCACCGAAAGGTAGAAAATTGCAAGCTTGATTTAGAGTCCCAACGTTGCCAGCTTGGATGAACGCCCTCTGCCTTCCTTCATATCTGAAAGAAATTTTTCCGTCTCTTCTGCTTCTGTAACCAGATGACTTTTTTTCTCTTTTTTTTTTGCAGATCACGCAGCTGGCCGGCTGGTGTATTGCGATTGCCTGTGGCCTCTGCTGTATTTTCATGAAGATTGGCTGGTACACGACGAAGTACCCAACAACAGAGTTCGGGAAGCTCTCTACCACTTTCTTCGACAGACTTCTATGGTCAATTTTCATGATTTGGCTAACGTTGGCTTGCGCCTCGGGTCGAGGAGGTGAGCCACTTTTAATTATTACGCTCAGATGGTAGTAACAATGTGTGGCAAGCTAATATAGTAACTGCCGCTTGCAGTTCGTTAAAGTGATGCTACTGCCATCCATCTTCTTCTTAGAGAAACAAGTACCGACTACTGTGGTAGATGCACAAACAGGCAAATTTCCTCCACCGCTTATTACGCAAACAAAGCTGGTGCAACTATCGTGCAAGAACCTTTTGAATGTTTATATATATAGATATATATATATATATATATATATATATATATATATATAGATATATATATATATATATATATATATATATATATATATATTTATATATATATATATATAGATATATATATATATGAAATATAATGAATCCGGTGGAAAATGCGGTAGAAAAAGAGGTCGACAAACACAAGTTTTACTAACGTTTCGCAGGTGGGCCTGCCTTCGTCGACGAAGGCAGGCCCACCTGCCGAAACGTTAGGAAAACTTGTGTTTTCGCTGTTGACCTCTTTTTCTACCGTATATATATATATATATATATATATTGGTGTAGGGCCGTGTGCTCAGATTTGGGTGCAGGTTAAAGAACTCCAGGTGGTCGAAATTTCCGGAGCCCTTCACTACGGCGTCTCTCATAATCATAAGGTGGTTTTGGGATGTTAAACCCCACATATCAATCAATATATATATATATATATATATATATATATATATATATATATATATATATATATATATATAGTGGGAGTAATAACTCAATGGGCCAGTTGGTCTTCGTGAAGGTATGGGATATGGCACAACGGGAGCGTTGTCAACAAGGACAAATATAGTTATTTCCCAACAGTTTCCAAACCCCTCCCGAAACTGTTGGGAAATATATTATTCTTGTTGACACGCTCCCGTTGTGCCATATCGCATATGTATATATATATATATATATATATATATATATATATATATATATATATATATATATATTTATTTATTTATTTATTTATATATATATATATATATATATATATATATATATATATATATATATATATATATATATATATATATATATATATATATATATATATATATATACATTGTATCTGTTTTCAAGTAAGTTATCTTTTCATGATGTTTGATAATATTTGCCTTTATTCTGGTTATGTGAAATCTACTGCCTGTTTCTTTCGATAGGACCACAAGTTGTTTGCGACGGCAACTTATTCGCTTGAAATGAAGTGATTTTTATGTGCTGACGTGCAGTAAAACAATGAAGAGAGAGAGAGAGAGAGAGAGAGAGAAGGATTATTGGTTGCATCAAAGTCATTTGTCAGAAAGAACGCCAGAGAGGCTCACTTTACCTCACACCTGTTAAACAGAATAATTTAGGTATACGTACACCCTACGTCAGTCTTTCGCCAACGGCTTTTACACAGTTTGAATGGTCATTTCAATAATGCAGGATCCTGATTTACGTAAGAAAACAAAAGGTCGTGCTTCTATTGACTGTATACCACTCACTGGTCGCACACCGTGCACGCCTCTCCGCAGGTTTCTTGAACAAGTTCCTGTCATGGGCCCCATTCGCACCATTGGCCAGGCTGGCATTCGGCGTCTACCTCATACACATGCCATTCATTCAGTTGGCATTGCACATATCTCGAGAGAGGATGACGCTGTCTCACTTTGTAGCGGTACGTAGGATTGGCGACATTAGAAATGCCTTTTGAGGAGTAATCGTCTTGCTAAAGCCTGTACAATTTTACTAAGGTGGAGGCTAGAGCACGAGCCACTATCACTCCAACTGCTCTTTGCACTACTTTGCCAAAGAATGCCCGAATGGGTACGTTATGGCGACTTGGCGACTACATTTTAAAGGTGAAAGATTGAGATTTCTACATCTCAAGGCCATCTTTATAAGGTACAAATAATATCACTTGGTTCCCCTTGGTAGATCAGTGGTTACGATGATCGGCTCTAGACCCAAAGGTCGTGGGTCGGATCACGGCCACGGTGATTGCACTTCACTGGATGCGAAATGATAGAGGCCCGTGTACTCTGTGAAGTCGTTGGTGCATGTTAAGGAATAACAGATGATCGCAATTTCTGAATGATCGCAATTTCCACTACAGCGTCCATCATAAATATAGTAATACGGTCTTGGGACGTAAAGCGTAGATATTAGTAATAAATTCCATGTGAGCGCGCAGGCTGGACGTCTACATCATCCGTGTGGTGTTAGCGCGAGCACCCGCGTAGTAGGCGTGCTGAGGGCAAGCGCCGTGGCAGAACTGGGCAAGAAAAGGAGGGAAATTTTACCAGCAGCGTAGCAGGATTGATTTTGCAAATTACCACACCATGCTCTCAGCGACATCATTGAAGTTTTTTCACATACCTGCCACAAGTACTTCCTGTATGATGCAATCAGACGCAAGCGTTACCTGCGCGCAGGGGGCGGTCAGCTTTGGTGGGTGTGTGAATTTCTCATGGTGAACATATCAAATGACGTGCATTCATTTTTTTGTTTTTCATAAAAACGATCACTTTTTCATCTATTTTGACGTCCTATGAGCTCTGATAGAAACAAGCGTCCTTAACTCTATAAATAGAAAGTTTATGAGTTTCTCAGTAATTATCTTACTTCACTGTCACTTTAGCTGCGGCAAGCGATTCTTCCCTCAACATAGAGTTTGTTTGCGAGAAAGACTGGTGCCTGAATGCAATGTGATTTTATCAAATCTTAAAAAAAAACATTTTTGCTTTATAGAAAACACTATGTAAAGCTAACAAAATCAGGCCTTTCCTAAAGGCTAAATTGACTGCATCTTTTAATGACTGCAAATTCGTATGTCGGTATTGCGAGCTATAAAACGTAGCACGGGGTGGCTTGGCCTGCCCCACAGCGAATGCAATAGTATGCATGATGAAAACTGTTGTATAGTAAAATTTTTACAATTGTGAGTAGTTATTCGAGAGCCTCGCTTGAACGGTACCAAGATGATGGAGGTATTGAAGCGCTTGCGGCATAAAAAAATTGAAAACAACAATGTCTTGCGCGATAGTTTTAAAAAGAATTCTGCACTATCCTCTAAATAGTTGATAAGGAATTAGGAACAATAGTTTCATAAGCATTATTCGGAATGGGAGTAGTAGGACAAAAAGAAATCATAACCTCTCATATTCGCCTCATCTCAACATTTGACGCAGGCTTCATTCTGCTTTTCAACCCTCGCCTGGAGCTACATCCTAAGCTACTTCTTGTTCTTCTCCTGCGAGGCGCCCATAGGCAAACTGGACAAGCTTGTTTTCGAAGGACTACGACAAAAGAGTCCCATAAAGCAAGTTGAAGACACACTGCCAACAAACATTGAATTCGTCACAGAAAAGCAGCAAATTGCCGGTCACATGGCGGAGAGCAACAACAACAATAGCAGTGAAACGGCGCCCCACGAGCAGCAGTTTGGATTGCAACAGAACGGTGTGAAACCTTCTGCGGACGCAGCCAGCTGCCGTCTTTGATGTGAAAGTGTTTCTCGTGAGTGCGCTGTTGATCGTTATAACCTGCCTTCGGACACGTGGAGCAACAGTTTGTGCACCGCCCACGAGACCGTATCGATACGAGCTTGTGGAACGCATACTACGAGGACATGAACAATTGCACAGTTCCTCAGCAACCTATTTTATCATGCTGGCTCTGTGAGCTCAGGCTGAACGATGAAGTTACGTCACTGGAGCATAGCCAAAAAAGTTTTTTTGGGGGGGGGGGGAGAATATCAATCACCAATTATGTATGTTCATGCGTATGTTTGTATGTGTGCGGGTTATATATTTACACAAGCAAAATTGAAAAAAAATGTAAGGGGCACTTAATCTCCCCGTGTTCTCTCCACCCCCCCTCCCCCCGTTGCTGGCCAGTGCTACGTGATGTCTTTTTTTAACTAAAAGTGACGCGACCCTCAAATATCACAGGGACATGTTGTATTCTTTTATCTTTAGATGACTCGTGGTCCTAAACTAGGTATTCTTGCTCGATAGCAGCGTTCGCCATGAATATCTCACTGGCATTAGGGAGAACGTGAGCACCGCTTTACCTTTTTTCCGCCGTTTAAGCCTCCTGGCATCCTTGCAATTAACTATCAGTGAGATTGTAAGGTCTAACGACACTCGAGGTGCTCATACCAGACAAAAATCATCGCATACGCATCCTAGAAACTATTATTTCATACACCGTGCGCAAAATAAGCATCACTTCCTTTTAGGTGGTACAAGTAAATTTATTCTCGCTCACAGCGAACGCCACCAGGCATTCATTATTCACTTGGATCTTGTTTTCGCCCTTATCTGTAATCAATAGTGCAAATATGGATGACATTCAGGTGTCACAAATGGAAGCCATAACAACTCTGAATAGAAGAAAAAGCTTAAAGAGTGGTGAAGTTCGAAGGTTGGTGCATATTATAGCTATGTTGTGAGTAATCGCTATGTTGTAAGTAACATCGCGTAAAACAAAGTCTAAAAAAATTGGTGTTTGCATTCGTTCGCGTTGTCCAGTTTCATGCGCTTTACTTTTATTGCTACATTTGTTCAATGCAAGAATACAAGGCACCAACCATTGTGCTAAGCCTGCTGTACGGGGTAAACTATTCTCCGAAATCATTTTTAGATAACGGCCACCCCGTCACAGAAGATGGTTGTAACATATTTTGAATTGAGTAGGAAAGAAAGAAGCGGTTTTCGCATACAAACGGTTACGACAGCACGAAGTGATATTTTCTTGTCATGAAATAATTATAAACGAAGCACGGTGAAATAGTGTATTATGGCCTTCATACAGGTCAAAGAGCATTATTGTAGTCGTCGTAAGTTCGTTTATGAATAGTGAGAAAATAGTCGTGAGGTTAAATGAGGACTATTGCTTCATAGCAAGCAAAATTTTTAGAGCCTAACCAACCCCACAAATCTATAGTGAGATGCAGCCTAAGAACGAATGTAGCTCCACCCACAGTGGTCACCGTCCCACCCATGCAGGCAGAATTTCCACATATGTCACACTGAATTGCAGATGGTTATTTACGTGACGTCAAGCTCATTTCACGGACTTGAAGCATATCACTTGCCCGTACAGGCTCGTGTTCATTTCGCTAGTTTTCGGTAAAAAATGTATTCTTGGCAAATTTCTTAAAAACTTTGACTTCACTCCTCTGCGAAACGTAACGCGTTCTAATAAAAATGACGAACTTTCAATTTTTAATATGCGTAGTATTTGCACTACCAGAGAAATTTTGTTTATGGTTAGAACGAAAATTACCTATCATCGCTGTGTTACACAGATGAATCTCAGACGTGCTTCAGTACTGAGGGAGGAGCGTGTATTTAACCTTACGTTGTAACCGGTTAAAAACAGTTTTTTTTATGTTAGTAGGTGACGGCAGTTCTACGCTTTAATGAACACTGACACGATTTCGAGTCATTCCAAAAGAGCTGTGTGCCGTTTCCTTGGCGTGAAGTGCTACCTCTGTCCACATATGTAAGTCGGAAAACGTACGTAAATTATTATTTTTTGATTACAGTTTTCATCGACCAACATATACACATATACGAAAGGGCCACACTGCAATGCCTATTATTATTGCGAGTCGAAACAGTTCCCCGGTTTTGCGAAATTCTCAAAACTGCTGCCGGAGTCACTGAACAACAATTCACTTATCGTTGTTTATGTACGCCCTTGTAACCTACAGATGCCGTCAGAGCTGGCGGTGTCACTGTCGCTCAAATAAAACATCCTGGCTACCAGTGGCGATTGAATCCGCGTTGATTGCAAGGCACGCAGGTGTTCTACCACACAGACATGCCTTTGCTTATGTGCGCAGTGAAGATAACCTTCTATGCTTGAAAATGCCGGGAAAGTAACCCGTGATTCAGAAACACGCTCACCTTGTGTACTTGCTTCCCACTACAACATGAAATATTGGAAAAATATACGTGATACAAGGGTGCTTTGCCATCGGGCGTCACAGCATGTGATCATAATTGTAGCTTCATGGACTACAAAAATCACAATGTTACAGCGCCTACTCCCTTAAGGCCCCGTAGTGGTTGCATAGTAAGCTCGAAAAGATTTTATGCCCTCTGTGTATCAAGTTCTCACCAGGGACAGGATATCGCTATCGCCTTGCACCTAGAGCTGTGCGCTGCCGCGCCGCGCCGCGCCGCCGCCGCCGCCCTTTTTTGCTCACGCTGTCCGCGCCGCCGCGGAAGTTCCGGGAAAGACCACGCCGCCACCGCCACCGCCACAGGACAATACTTTGCGGTATTTCCGCCATTTGTGTTATTTTCACCTGAGCGGATAGTCAGGGCATGAAATGAATCAGTTCACCTTTTTTTTCTGCAGTTTATTACTCAGAGCGGCACTTGCGGTGTCATGATTGCTCTCTTAATTGTTTTCGTGTTTACATCTGCTGTCTAAGTAGGGCCCTAAAACAGCTTCAAAAAATACAGTCGAGCATGGTATTCTGTCTTGGCGATTATAGCTCTTTTGGTGCATTTCATGACATCAGAACAGTGATTCACATGACGTGATTAGGGCACGTACTCCAGGATGGTCTATATACGAGAAATATGAGTTGTAGTAAATAGTTTTCTGCCCTGTTTTGCCATGAATTCACCATCCGGCCCCCCAATTTTTCCTCGCGTCTCACAGGGTGATCATGGGAGATGAACTTGTAATTTCGCGCCGTTTTTGTGAGTTTCAGATAACGCAAGTTGAATTGAGAAGAGTGTAGCCGAGAAGTTCAAACTTCTGATAGGCTCAACGCAACATTGCACACATGCTTCATCAAGACATAGATATCGAAGAGCCTTTAAGAATTGTAGTAAATACAGTGTAGTTCCATGTAATAGAGAACTAAATCGAAGGAATAAGCTCCTCTGTCATGTTTCGTATAAAGTCCGAAAAATTGCTTTTGTATGCATACTCTATGCTGTTTTCGCGGTTAAAATCCCAGGAGCGCTATATAGTAAGCAACACTGCTGAAGCATAGAATAAACAAGCTGCCCATCTCTATCACACTGATAGCGCATGCAATAACATCACTCTGCATGCGATGCCTACCATCGATTGCTCCTCAACCGGAAAGCAAGCGCTGTCTGCCTTTTGCTGAACGAAGGAGTATGAAGGGATACTCAGGTAGGAAGCTGCGTGGCTCAATCCGCATCTGGGAACTTTGAATATAAGAGCTTGGTCGTGAGTGCTAGCTCGCTCACTATTTCAGCAAAAATCAGCGAATGGCTCAGTTACCCATCTACACGCTACGAAATTCACTGTACGAATCCTGTTTTTCTCCCTGGAACAGCCATATTTCTATACACTAGCATTTTACAGTTTAGCGATATCAGACAAAAAAGAGTTCGTTGCAGCCTAACCTCCTTATGGGGCTGCGAGCTTCTGTCGCACGGTGTAAAATGTGAAGTTATCAAAGGATTTTCTCACCTTAATACTGTTTAGGTTGCCCCAAAGTTAGCATGTTCTCCTCAAAGACCTGAGATCGATAATGTTATTAACTTTTCGTACAGGACACTTTAGCCTCATCTTTTGGGGAATTTGAATGCTGTAGCAATTTTTGCAGTGTATCTGCGCTCCTCAAGTGTTGTACGTGATAATGGCGACAAAAGTTTGTTGCACACAAATATGTTAAGTGTAACCTCCGAAACCCAGTCTACCGTAAAGATATATTTCAGCTCACTCGTCGCATAAAACGCTTACGTAAGAATCGACATTTCAAGTGTATGATAATGCTTCTTGAATTATAGCATTGAGATGTAAATACAAGCTAAAATCAAGAGGCTAACAGATACTGCATTGGCAATGCCTGCGCTACACTTATGAAAAAAGTCCATCCAGGTTTTAGAGCTCGATTACTCTTGCATCGTCTACGCCGTCGTTGTTTATTCTTGATGACCAATCCTCCTTAAATACGGAAGCTGTAGCAAATGTATTTATTGCTTACTCTAAATCTGTTTTTTTTTCTGTAGCTAACGGCATTACTCCTTCATTTTACGCGTGTGACAAACCACCTGCTCTTCCTAAATTTGAATTGAGCTTTTCTGAAGTGCATAACCTAATAGTATTTTGAAGTTACGATACCCTCTGACCCAGACGGTATGCCAAACATATTTTAAAGTGGTACTAAATATGGTGCGCTAATTGTTTTGCTGTAAAAAGTAAATATCTGCAAAAAAAAGTTAACAAACGTCGTGCTCTTAAGTCCAGAAACAAGCAAATTGCGAAATATAGGCCAAAATCTTTGCTTTATATACCAGGTACACACTTTTGGAACACAAGGTCAACAAATACTATGTATAATACCGAAACACACACAACCTATTTTTCCGGTGGATACACAGTTGCTTCAATTTACGCACGACATTGTTGCTTGCTTTAACGACCGAGGATAGACTTATGCCATATTTATTGACTACTCTTAGGATATTTTTTTCAAAAATAAGTAGAATGATTTTGCTTGCCAAACGTCTATCTACTTCACAATTTCGGAGACAACAAACTGGTTTATTGAATAACAAATCACCTGCGATCGCACTCCAAATTCATTACGTTTAACCACGCGAAGTCATCTGACGTACAGATCACGTCCGGCGTGCCTGGAGACTTAGTGCTTGGGCCACTTTTCTTTATAATTATTATAAGTTACGTGGTCGAGATTATCAGTAACACCCAAAGTAAACTTGAAATGTATGTAGACTACTGCGTTATCTGTAACATGATCTCTTATACTCAAGATCAACATGCACTGATTACTTTTTCTTCGGTCGTTTTGTAACAGGAGTGAAACATGGCAATTGTCTAGTAACTGCAAAAATACCATAGCCACGACATTTTCAAATGAAACATGGCCTCTTCGTTTTTAATATACTAATGACCGTGTAAGTCTAGTACGTGTCATGGAGTTTAATGGTGCTGCTCTCCCAACATATTTAAAATGGCACAGTAATTTGGAACAGTACAGTATCTTCGAAAACAGAAGAATCTCCAACACACGTTTAACTACTAGGAAAATGAATGCGGAATGAGAGCGCATAAGGGTTTGGCCAAACTTGAATAAGCGTTGTTTTTTTGGTCACCTGACCACAGACATGACATAGCTATGTGAGAATCTGTTAAAAAAGCAATACTGCTTATATTTCGTCACTTTAACCAGTGTTTCTCGTTACTTAATTAGCATGCGCATGTTTATTCGCTGCAGCCCATATCGAACATCGGCACACTTGCAACCGTGTCATCCTTCTGCATAAATAAGATGGTTCACACTGGTTACAGTGTCCAGGCACCCATATCTTTCGTTGCATCTTCTGCTCACCGTACCCGGTGGTTTGATTCTATGAATATTTTGTCAGTTGAATCAATTAAAGATTGTTTATATTTTCTTTTGTATGTTGTTTGCTTTTCTGCGGAATGTTCATTTTTTAAATCAGCTTGATGGGTACTTGAGCAGACTCGGTTCTGAGCAATTGGAAAAAAGAACTGCGTTAACAACATCAGCATCAGCCTGACTATACCCACTGCAGGGTGTAGGCATCTCCCATGATTTGTGAACCAACCAGGTCTAGTCTTCTCTGCTGCCTCGTTATACCTGCGGACGTTTATATCTCATCGGCCAACTTAACTTTCTGCCTCCCGTCCATTCATTTCCCTTCTCTGGGAATCCAGTCAGTTACCCTTAATAATGACCAGTGGTTAGCTTGCCTAAGTGTACGTACCAGGGTCATGTCTATATCTTCTTGTTTTCAACTATGATATCCTTAACCTCCTTAACCCCAGTTTGTCCTCTCACCCACTCTATTTTTTGCTTGTTTCTTTAGGTTGCAACTATCATTTGCCTTTCCATCGCTCGCTTTGTCGTCCTCAAATTAAGTTGAACTCTCTTTGTAGTCTCCAGGTTTCTGCTTCATAACTAAGTACCGGCAAGATGCAGCTGTTTAATACCTTTCTCTTGATGGTTAGTGGCAGATTATCATTTACCTTTTATTTACAATTTTCCATGTATTCTGCTGAATTGTATTTTTCAAGGTGGTGAACATTTGTATTTACACCTGCTATGTCTCAAAGAGCGAAAGAGCAGTATTTGTAAATAAATACTATTAGGACAAGCTGCTGTCACTTCGAGTGTTTCAACCTTTCAGGAAAACCGATTTCTTCTTCGAAAATCAAAGAACAAGTTGCTATTCTCACCACCTCTTGAATCATGATCGAACCCCCCCCCCCCCCCCCCACTACAGCAGCCGCGCCGCCGCCGAACCGATAGACCCCACGCCGTTGACACGCCGCCGTCGGCAAATTTGGTACCGGTGCACAGGTCTACCCATTAAAGGAGAAGCTTAACGGTCCCACATTTCACTGTATTTGAAATGAGGGCAAAAACACGTGTGGCAGTGAAGAGGTTTCTTGCATAAAGACAACCGCCAAGGCTATAGCCTGGTCTCCACTTGGCTGAGTACGCTACATTTTTTTTAAACTGGAGTTTTAGGTAAGCACAATATAATTATGGAAAACGCCGCAGGGGAGTGATCCAAAACTTTTCACATCACGTGTTCTTTCACGTCGTCCGCTGACATGACACAGTACATTCGCGCGTGATATTGAGGTTATCGCGGGAGCGCCAATCTGTCCAACGCTGCAGAGGCTTGTTCTTTTCCTCGTTGCGCCTTGTTCTTTTCCTCGTTGGGTGCACACTGCTAAACAATCATCCCTAACACGAACTCTGCACTATTTCTGTATAGTTTGAGCCTTCTTTTCGTCACGATCAAGTGTACTTTTCGGGAGTAATACTTCTGCAGGTGATTACAAATTCCTCAGAAAGATAAGTCACAGCTCGTGCTAGGTTTCATCAGTTTTCTGAGAGGGCAGTGATAACAGCTTAAGGAATAGCAGTAAAATTTGGTGAAGCCTGCGCGATACAACCGTCCCTTGGAAATGGCTTTCTGGGACATGGCGCTGATGTAGTTCTTGTTCGTAACTCAAGCGATAGCCTTCAAGTAATGCTCGACAGCACTAGGGCCTCAATCACAGTGAACACGTCGAAATGCAACTCTCGCGGATCGCAACCTTTGGAACTTCCACTTTCAGGTCGGCAGCCAAGTACCCTCCCTGCTCCACTTTGGCGGACACGCGCATAAGAGGGGCTCACCAACTTTCGAGCTGGACAAGCGCTTCAAAGACGCACAAGTCTGGACTGTCTAAATTACTCTTAACAAGCAATTTTATCGCTATCTGGACGGCATCATGAACTCGACACTTCATAACCTAAAAATTTCTTGATATGCTCCGGTGGTTAATAACTCTTTAACAGAAAATCTGCTTCGTGGCCACATAGCATCACAAACAAGACAATTCGTATACTAGACGAAGACTCCATCCTCATCCTCACAAAATATATCAATCGTATTTAGAGATCGGGGATTGTATCAAAGCATTGGAAAATGTATTTGGTAATTATCATCCCCAAACATGGCTGGAGTTACTATCTTAATAACTTGCATTCCATTTTACTGACGTCTTGTATAGTGAGGTCATCGAGCATGTCATCAAACAAAGATCGCAACTCGCGTGCGCATGGCACGTCTTTTGATTTACTTCGCGGAGAAATGAATGGAGAAAAAGATGGGAGAGAGAAAGAGCATATGACCAAATATTGCTTCACTCTTCGTTTTTTTTTTCTCAGTACTCAGCACTTCCCGCTCGCATTTCAGGCGTACTGCTCTACCTCCCCCCTTCTTTTGCTTATTTTTCATTGTCCATGCAAAAAAGTTTCCATCCGAAGAGCCTGCATGTCGCCTCCCTCTGGCGCACTATCGTTACATAGGTTCGCTAGCGCAGAGAGCAATATCCAATGACGCTATTGTGGGAGCATAGTACAGAAAGAGACAAAAGCTCAGTAATGACGAGACAGGAGCCACTTCTTGATATTCCCGTTGCTCCAGCAGATAGCTTTTATATAGATTTGTGGTTTGTTCTAAAACGCGCTGACGGCATGTACCGTGCAGGTTTTCCCTTCTCTGTCTCATTATCATAATCACTGTTGTGGTATTCTCCAACCTAAAAACCATGCACCAGGATGATATATCTCTCCACCCCCTGCACCCTTCCCTGTCGTGCGTCTCTTGTCAGGCAAGCCGAGACACTGACACTCTCTAACGGCGTCATTCGGTGTACATCATCGATCAGTATGATGGCCTCATGAACAAGCACCAGATGATTATCATGTTTGCACCAGTCGACATCCTTCGTTATCTTTCACGTCCCTTAATACCAAATTTAGTTTGTATGTGAAGCTAGCGAAACGACCGCAAGCGCACCATGAGCGTAGTGTGTACTCATGACTTACATGACATAAATGTCATGATTTCAACGTGAGGGTCTTTCATTTATTTTCGCCACTCAGTCATGCCTTACCATACCAGTTTGCAATATGTCATGTGAAAGAAACCATCGCAACACAAGCAAGACCATGAAATATAAATTACGACATTCATGACATACATGACAAGATTTTATTGTTATGAGTATTCACTTATGCTGATCATACCGTTATGGTATTTCATACCTATTTTGGTATCAATACTATTATTGAAACGGCCAGTATAGCTAAAAGCAGTAGATAGATAGATAGATAGATAGATAGATAGATAGATAGATAGATAGATAGATAGATAGATAGATAGATAGATAGATAGATAGATAGATAGATACGCTAAAGCCACCGAAGTTCGCTGAGAAATGCTCGCATTTAAAAAATCAGAAATAAAGATAGGAATAAGAAAAAGTAAAGAGAGAAAAGGATGGTCGTCTGGGAACATGGTTTTCTCAGGTTTGGCTACCAGGGAGCGAAGCTACCTACATTATTTTATTTTTATGTGTCAAGACGCTGATTGTTCAAGACACTTTTGGGGAATTGTAGAGGTAATTGGTGCGAAACTCTTGACGAAAAATGTCAGGCATGGCTTTACTATCGATCACAAGCAGAGCAATGGAGCTTACGCAACCATTCCATCGTTCAACTAATGATAACCACACTTTTACCAAAGCCACACCCAACTGCTGGTGTGTCCCCGCCGCGGTGGTGTAGTGGCTAAGGTACTCGGCTGCTGAACCACCAGTCGCGGGATCAAATCCGGGTGCGGCGGCTGCATTTCCGATGGAGGCGGAAATGTTGTAGGCCCGTGTGCTAATATTTGGGTGCACGTTAAAGAACCCCAAGTGGCCGAAATTTCCGGAGCCCTCCACTACAGCGTCTCTCATAATCATATGGTGGTTTTGCGACGTTAACCCCCCATATAAATCAACTGCTGGTGTGTATAGTTTTTTTGCGCACGCCTTCGGAGTCTGACACTACGGGTTAAACTAGTGGCTCGCCAAGAAATAATAGCTTCATAGCGAAATTCAATATATGGACACTGTCGCTTGCCTTTTGCCGTCGCTGTCATGCTGAGTGTACGTCTATATATATATATATATATATATATATATATATATATATATATATATATATATATATATATATATATATATATATATATAGGTATGGATATGGCACAACGGGAGCGTTGTCAACAAGGATAAATATATTTATTTCCCACCAGTTTCGGGAGGGGACCTCCCTTCATCAGGGGATGAGTTATACTGACATGAACTTCCTTGCTGCCGCGTCCCTCTCGCCTTGAAAGACGTTTGCGAGAGTGAGAGGGAACTGGAAGAAGGAAAAAAAAGAGAGAAAAAAGACGAAAAAAGAAAGAAAAGAAAGAAAGTAAAAAACAGGAAGAACCACTGTCAACACTGAGAACGAAGCCAACTGTCCGTCTACATCCACCTACGGTTCATATCACGTGCTGTTCAGTTCTTGGCGTGTGTCGGGCCACCCAGGATTGTCGCCGCGGTGCCGGGAGGGTCCGGGACGGCGTGCCTAAAGAAAGGGGTTTCCCCGTAATTGGTCGTTTGGTCGTTCGGCGGGCGGCGGGCGGTGTGTGTAAAGGAAAGGTTTCTCGTTAATGGGTCGGTCGGCTATTTACCTTTAATCTTCGTCCGTTTCCCTTCAACGGTCATGAACCACTTCACTCCCACTATATATATATATATATATATATATATATATATATATATATATATGTGTGTGTGTGTGTGTGTGTGTGTGTGTGTGTGTGTGTGTGTGTGTGTGTGTGTGTGTGTTCGGCACGGAGACTCAGCCCCGAGGTACGCATGCTCCAGGAGCTAGCTACTCGGGGGCATAATAAAGAACCCTAGCACTAGCCAAGCCTCAAGACAGAGTATTAACGCGATCGATTGGGGCACCAGTAAAAACTCTTTTCGCAGTAATATCACCGTCGGTGTCGCTGTAGATCAAATAAGACATCTTGGCTACCAGTGGTGATT